CTCTGAATATTAATAAGTAAATGAATCCATGAAGTAATGACTCTGGGAAGGAGGTCACTTTTTAAACTGTATGTTCAGAACTGTGTTAAGTGGTATCAATTATTTGATCCACATTAGTCTCACCAAGTCAAAACTTGGTTCACATTTTTCTTTTAAACCTCAACATGCCAACACTGCCAAACCGGACCCTGAGACTCCTTTTCCGTTATTAATCTCTTTAATAAAGCCAAAGTTGCTGATGGGCACTCTTTTGGAAAACTTTTTTTTTTTCTTATTTGAGAGTCATATATGCAGTTAAAATCTGAGCACAGATCTTTCAGCTTTTGCATGAATGAAGGTAACTCTTAGTTTTGAGATGAAGCCCAAACCCTAGAAAATAAGGACCTTAAGGTGTATGAGAATAGAAAGTGATATATAATAGGGTGGAGATATAATTTATCATCCAAACTCGGGAATTTTGAGAGGGAATTACACACTTTTGAGTGTTGTTATGAGTAATCACACAGGAACAGGAGACGTTAAGTTGTGATTGTCCCAGGGAAACTGGGAGATACTATGACTCTAACCCATAATCCTTGAAGGCATTTTCCAAGATTTAGTAGTGATGCTTTCTTTATAATCTCCCTCTTTTTCTTCTTAGTCAATTGTCAATTACATTTGTTCTAATTCAAAGCTAAAAACTAGTATAGTGAAGTTATGAATGCAACTTATTTAACATTAATTTTTAACCAGTCATTAGTTAACAATTTATATTCTAATATTAGGCATGCATATTTTACACACAGTTTCAGGATCTTTTTTTTCTGTCTCCTTCTTTATGCAAGAGTTTCTTAGAGATCAACATTGTAAAAAAATATTGCCGAAGGCTTTAAAAATACTGCTATTCAGTAAAAATACTGCTATTCGGTAGCAAACTACTTGGTAACTCCTAATACTGCAAAATGTCAGGTTTCTCCTACATCACAGTCATGTAATGATTCCAAACTTGTTCCCTTAAAATATGCTATAAGTTTGAGATTCTTTTAGACTTCAGCGGTTTTTGTTTGTTTTGCTCTGTTTTAATTTGTAAAGTTCTGCTTCTAGTACCTGTCACACCTATTTCAGAAAGTTTTATGAGTTAAGTTAGGCAATGGATGTGGAACTCTTTGTTAACTGTACAAGATATGTAAATAAAAGAGATAAATTTCAGTGTTATAATAAACATCTATTTATATGAATGCTCACAAGGAAAAATCCTTTAATCCTAATGAGTTTGCAAATACCCCCCC